ACATGGTCACTATCATTCACATTCATAATTCTAGCAATAACCACTCACTCTTTAGTTCACCTACTCCTGAAATAGAAGCTCTATTTATCAAGCCAAGTCAACCCCATTGTTTAGGATTTCTACTATTACTCAGGAGGGAGGGAAATGTAATGAGTGACTCATTCAGTAATATCCTCATACTCACGCACACAATCCCTAATGCACTTTTGGGCTTTGGAAAGGCACTTTCCTTGCAAGACACGACCCACTGTTTTCTTTCCACATCACATAAATTGTTCAGGGGGTGCAACCCTCTCATTACCCACTCATCCTAACTCCCCTCCTAGCATAGAGAGTTAGGAAACACTGTCGGCAAGTACTTTCGTATCAAATCATATCACACTAGTACGAATAACCCGTGCATAGTGTTACTTAAACCACTTTATCGTTATCGAAGCACAATACGGTCATGCTTAAAGCATGTTGATAGGTCACATATCACTTGGCACTTATCACTTATCACATGGCACCGGTCATATAACACTTATCACATATCATTATGACATCTATCGCATAACACTGATCATATAACATGGGTCACATAACATTATGACACTTAACATGTACGACTTATCACATGAAGATGGTCACATGGCACTTACACCTATCACATGAAAATGGTCACATAACACTTACAACATTCATTACTTGATTTGATCAGTGATTAGCTCAATAAAAGGATATAACAATTCTAACATTCTCTATATTCACATCCTAGGTATCTTCATAGAAAGAGGATACCATAATAAAACCATGGAGAATTTTGGCAGGATTCCAAAATCAATTTCAAAATAGACTCACTCATTGTTCATTTAAAAGTGATTTGGACGCATTTGGGAATAGTTTGGTCACTAAACAATTCATTATAAAAACAAGCACAGGTCTAGAAATTCTTGTGGCTGATAATAGTGACATACCCCTCTTATTAGAGGCATAACTTTCAATCGAAAGGGTATTTCGGATTTCAACATACAACTTTAAGCATACACACAGATATTTCAAATGGCAGTGGTTTGGAAGAAATTGGCTCCATTTAGTTAGTCAAAACTCATGGCAACAGAGGTAACATTTACGAATTCCAGTGAAAACTACCAAAATTGACATGCTTGGACAATTTGAAGCATAACTTATCATTTATAAAGAATATAAGCAAGGTTTAAACATGAACATTATATTGGACACAAATATATTTCAAATGGAGGTAATTTGAAAGTATTTGGATACCATTTGATAGGTCAAAAGTTCGATACAAAAAGCATAACAGTCCAGAAATTTTCTGCAACCTTTTAACAGTGACATACCCACATGTTTTGTAGCATAAATTCTAATTCATGGGGACTTTCAAGATGATGTAAAAGCAAAGTTTTAGTACATAACCACATCATTCATTAAAAACTGATTTGAGCCCATTTGGATATTCTTAAGCTGCTAAAAGGTTCAATACAAAAGCATCTACATTCCTTGGAAATTCCATTCCCAAGTTTTGAAATGTATTGAATAATGAATAATATCTTTCAAGCCAAGATAGATATTCATACGAAACCTATTCCATATTAAATTAGACTCACAGGAGGGTTTTTTACACACTTTTCACAACCAGCAGAGTTATCTTTATTACTCAATCAATCATGAATTCTAGCACTACAGTTCTGAAACTGCAGTCTCTTTCTTGCACAATCATACTCATGTTCCTACAAAAAGGATTTTGCCCTCAAAAAGGATTTTGCCCTCAAAATTGTCAGTTAGTCAAATAGATGGGGGTATTTATCCCGGATCTCAACTTCCTGTTCCCATGTTAATTTTTCTCTTGAATGAAACTTCCATAACACATGAACGAGAGGGATTTCTTATTGTGCAATACCTGCACCCTTTTGTCCAATATTTCAATCGGTTGCTCGACATAAGTCAAATCTTTGCCGATCAGGATTTGGTTCATACTTCAAGACATGGGACGAGTCAGGCTAATATTTTCTCAACAGTGATGCATGAAAAACATCATGAACATTAACCAACTCAAGTGGCAGGGCCAGTCAATATGCCACAACTCTGATTCTCTCTAAAATTTCAAACCACAACTCTGATTCTCTCTAAAATTTCAAAGGGCCCAATAAATCGCGGGCTCAGCTTTCCCTTATTACCTAATCTCATAATGCCTTTAGTTGGTGATACTTTCAAGAATACCAAATCACCCACTTCGAATTCAAGATCTTTTCGATGATTATCGACGTAAGTTTTCTACCGACTTTGGGATGTCCTGAGCCGTTCTCGCATTAAAGCAATCTTTTATGATGTTAACTAAATAATTTCTATCCCTAACAGTCTCCTATCACCAACTTCATCTCAAGATAGTGGTGATGTGCATTTCCTTCCGTACAGGGCCTCAAACGGTGCCATCTAGATACTGTCCTAGAAACTGTTGTTATATGCAAACTCTACCAGAGGCAGATGATCAACCTAGCTTCCTTTAAAATAAATTACACAAGCCCTTAACATATCTTCCAAGGTTTGAATGGTTCTCTTTGATTGTCTATTAGTCTAAGGGTGAAAAGCAGTACTAAAAGTGAGTTTTATCCCCAAGGTTGATTGCAGACTATAACCAAAATCTCAAGGTAAACCTAGTGTCCCTGTCTGACAGGTATACCTTGCAATCTTACTATCTCTTTGATGTATAGTTGAGCCAGTCTATCCAAGGTATAGGTTGTGCGGACCAGTAAGAAATGAGTAGCTTTAGTTTATCGGTCCACAATGACCCAAACATTATCGTGCACAATACCTGATCCAGGCAGGCCAGACACAAAATCCATATTGATGTGTTCCCATTTCCACTCTAGCACGGGTAAGGGTTGTAATAGTTCGACATGTTTTTGATGTTCAGCCTTCACTTGCTTACATGTTAAGCACTTAGAAACAAGTTGAGGATCTTCTTTTTGTGCCACTCGAATCTGTTGAAAGAGCTGGGGCTCCACTCTTACACACGAAATCGTTCCCACCCCATCACTAAGGGGTAGAGATGGGTGCCATTTTACTGCATCTTCTAATAATTTCATATGTCGGACCATCATTTGAGCCATTGATACCACGGGCTTCCTACTTAGGGCGTTTGCTATGAAATTTGTCTTACCTGGGTGGTAGTTGATGGTACAGTCATAATCATTCAACAACTTCATTCATCTTCTTTGTTTCATGTTCAATTCTTTATGAGAAAATAGATATTTAAGACTCTTATAATCTGTAAACATCTTAAACTGAGCCCCATAGAGGTAGTGTCTCCAGATTTTTAAAGCGAACACTATAGCCGCAAGCTCCAAATCATGGGTTGGATAATTTTGTTCATACAACTTTATTGTCTGGAGGCATAAACATTGACCTTCCCCTCGGCATAAGTACACCCTCGAGCCCTTTATGAGAGGTGTCGGTATAGACTACAAAGTCCTGATTCCCTTCAAGTAAAGTTAGTATCGGGGCTGTGGTCAATCTCTTCTTCAATTCTTGGAAGCTTTTCTCACAATTGTCCGACCACACAAATTTTAACATTCTTCTAGGTCAGATGAGTCAAAGGAAGTGCTATATTTGATAATCCTTCCACAAAAATCCATGTAATATCCTGCTAACCCTAAAAAACTGCAGATCTCTGCATATTTATCGGTCTTTCCCACTTAAGCACGGCTTCGATTTTATAAGGGTCAACCGCGACCCCATCCTTAGAAATAATATGCCCCAGGAAGGTCAAACTGGAAAGCCAGAACTCACTCTTACTTCACTTGGCAAACAATTTCTCCGACTTCAAAATTTGAAGGACCATTCTCAGGTGCTGCTCATGCTCTTCTAGATATCTTGAATATACTAGAATATCATCAATGAAGACCACAACAAAATTATCTAAAAATGGTCGGAACACTCTATTCATTAGATCCATGAAAGCAGCAAGGGAATTAGTCAAACCAAACGGCATTATTAAAAACTCATAGTGGCCGTATCGGGTTCTAAACATAGTATTGAGAAAATCTTCCTCCTTGACCCGTAGTTGGTGATAACCCGATCGAAGATCGACTTTTGAGAATAGTTGGGCCGCTTGCAATTGGTCAAATCGGTCATCAATCATGGGCAGGGGATACTTGTTTTTCACGATCACTTGATTTAACTGCCTAGAGTCAATATAAAGCCTCAAGGACCCATCTTTCTTTTTCACAAACAAAAATGGTGCACCCCAAGGAGATACACTGGGTCGGACAAACCCCTTATCTAATAGTTCCTGAATTTCTCCTTCAACTCTTTCAGTTCCGCTGGGGCCATCATATACAGGGCTTTAGAGATGGGGACAGTACCAGGGGTCACATTTATTTCAAACTTTATCTCTGCTATGGGAGGTAAGGAGGCCAATTCTCCAAGGAAGACTTTTGGGTATTCTCTTACCACTGGAATGTTTTCTAACTTGGATTGGACATCTCGATTTTCTACTATATAAACTAAGTAGCCCACGCATCTTTTAGCCAGAAGGCAGGAAGCCTAAAGGGAAGAAATAAGATGTAGAGGGGAGCGTCTTGAGTACCCACAAAGTGTAATTCAGGCTAGTTAGGGCACCTAAAGGCCATAGTTTTATCATGACAATTAACAATAGCATGATGGGTGGACAACCAGTCCATACCCAGAAAAACATCAAAATCCTGAATATCTAAGGATATTAAGTCGGCAGGTCAAACACATCTTTCTATCAAAGCTTCACACTGCCTGAATACCCTATCAGTTTCCATATAATCTCTCACAAGTGTGCACACTATTAAAGTATAGTCAAGACATGCAGATTTAACATTTAGATGACATACGAAATATGTTGCAACAAAAGAGTGAGAGGAACTAGGGTCAATCAAGATTTTAGCTTCTCTACCGCAGACAAAGAACATACCTCTGATTATTGAGGTAGATGTCTTGGCCTCCTGTTCCTTCAATGCAAATACCCGACCTTAAGCCTTTGACTGGTTTTCCAACTTTATCATGGGGTAGTCTCTAATCCAGTGGCTAGGCTTGCCACACTTAAGGCACGTATTCAACTTCTTGTAACACTTGGCCTCAGAGTGATTGCTCATCCCATAGTATGAACAAACCGAACATCGGTTATCCCCCTTGTTACTTGAAAAAGTCTTTTGAGTCTTCAAATTACCCGGGTAGGGTCTTCCTCTAAAATCTCTCTTCGGGGACGGTCGAGCTTTCCTCCAAGAATTTCCTGATTGTGCGGGTTTTATCCTACCTTCCTTTCTCAAGAGAAACTCCTCGCAATCCCTTTCAATCTTCATAACGAGGTTTACCAGTGGGGCATACAACTTAAGATTGGCCGCTAACACCCTTCCTTTAATTTCTGGCCGAAGGCCCCTCTTGAATTTACTTGCCTTTTGTGCCTCTATATTGATGATATGAGGTGCATATTGAGAAAGCTCCGCAAACTTGGCTGCGTATTGCTCAGCTGCTAATCTCCCTTGTTGGAGCTCAATAAACTCAGTTTCTTTCCTTTCCTTGACAGAGTCAGGGAAGTATTTCTCATCGAATGCCATCAGGAAGTTATCCCAATTAGCCTTAGTCCCTGTTTCTCTCCAAGATTGCTTCACTGAATTTCACATCCATTTGTCTTTTCCATCTCTCGGCTTTTTCCACTCCCTCGTGCCTTGTAAATGTAAGAGGAGCCATCCTCCTAAATCTTTCAATTAGTTCACTGTTTGCTCAGTTCAGGGTAGGAGTAGACGGGGCCGGCATATTATCTTTCATGATCTGGGTCATGGCCCCAAGTGTCCCAAAGAACTCTCTGAAGGTGTCAGTAATTTCATTACTGGAGCTCACGTTGTTGACACGAGTCTTTGTCATCTTCTCTTCAACCTAGCACCGGAACACCCAGTTACTAACCTATCCAGAAACCATTTTAAGGACACTTCTATAACTTCCTAGGCCAAGAATCCTATCTTGGCTGCTCTGATAATATAACAGTTACGACCCCACCCCCTGACCCTTACCGTTCTAGCTGGAGGGTACCAGGGTACGAGACCAGGGTCCCAAGGAGGCGAATGTCAATAAGGTTAGAGTGCGCTCAATGCCTTATGAAATTGGTAATCAAAGCACACCACAAAGACGAAATAAAAACAATCATCCAAAAACGCATTTAACCATTAAAACAGAGAAATTTCATTCACAACTTAATTACATTGTACATAATATCTTTCCAAAATGTTACAAAAAGAGTTTGGGGCATCTACGGCCCATTAATACACAAGATCCCAAAACAACAACCACAACCTATGTCCGGCTGCCAAACAGATGTACAATGGTAGAGACTTCACAACAAAAACGTGGCTTCAACCCTCGACCACGAACCTAATTAATCCCAGCCCGAGACCTGTTGCTATCAATCTACAAGGATTGAAATTTATGTAATGAGCTATGAAGCCCAATAAGAAGATTTAGATACTATGCATCAGAATTGCATTTATTCAGGTATCATTAATAATTCTTTCAATTATAAGCAATCACACTATAGATGTCATTTAAATCAGCAATCTTATCAATACATCTATCATAGGTGTCATATCAAATATCATAACTATCATTCAGTCAAAATGGATATTATCATTCACATTCATAATTCTAACAATAACCACTCACTCCTTAGTTCACCTACTCCTGAAGTAGAAGCCCTATTCATCAGGCCAAGCCAATCCCATTGTTTAGGACTTCTACTATTACTCAGGAGAGAGGGAAATGTAATGAGTGACCCATTCAGTAATGTCCTCATGCTCACGCACACAATCCCTAACGCACTTTGGGGATTTTGATAGGCACTTCCCTTGCAAGACACGACCCACTATTTTCTTTCCACATCACATAAATTGTTCAGGGGGTGCAACCCTCCCATTACCCACTCATCCTAACTCCCCTCCTAGCATAGAGAGTTAAGAAACACTGCCGGCAATTACTTTCGTATCAAATCATATCACACTAGTACGGATAACCCGTGCATAGTGTCACTTATACCACTTTATCATTATCGAAGCACAATACGGTCATGCTTAAAGCATGCTGATAGGTCACATATCACTTGGCACTTATCACTTATCACGTATCACATGGCACTAGTCATATAACACTTGTCACATATCATTATGACATCTATCACATAGTACTGATCATATAACACGGGTCACATAACAATATGGCACTTAACATGTAACACTTATCACATGAAGATGGTCACATGGCACATACACTTATCACATGAAAATGGTCACATAGCACTAACAACATTCATTACTTGATTTGATCAGTGAATAGCTCAATCAAAGGATGTAACAATTCTAACATTCTCTCTATTCACATCATAGGTATCTTCATAGAAAGAGGGTACCATTATCAAACCATGGAGAATTTTGGCATGGTTCCAAAATTAGTTTTAAAATAAACTCACTCATTTTTCATTTAAAAGTGATTTGGACACATTTGGGCATATTTTGGTCACTAAACAATTCATTATAAAAGCAAGCACAGTTCTGGAAATTCTTGTGGCTAGTAACAGTGATGTACCCCTTTTATTAGAGGCATAACTTTCAATCGAGAGAGTATTTCAAGATAATTTCAACATGCAACTTTGAGCACACACACATATCTTTTCAATGACAGTAGTTTGCAAGAAATTGGGCTCCATTTAGTTAGTCAAAACTCATGGCAATAGAGACAATAGTTATAAGTTCTAATGAAAACTACCAACAGTGATATGTTTGCACAATTTGAAGCATAACTCATCATTTATAAAGAATCTAAGAAAGGTTTAAACATGAACATTATAGTGGACACAAGTATCATTCAAATGGCTTTAATTTGAAAGTATTTGGATATTATTTGATAGGTCAAAATTTGATACAAACAGCGTAACAGTCCAGAAATTTTCTGTAACCTTTTAACAGTGATATACCCACACGTTTTGAAGCATATATTCTAATCGATGGGGAATTTCAAGATGATGTAAAAAGAAAAGTTGTAGTAGACAACCACATCATTCATTCAAAACTAATTTGAGCCCATTTGGACATCATTAAAGTCTCTGAAAGGTTCAATACAAAAGCATCCATAGTTCCTGGAAATTCCATTCTCAAGTTTTGACATGTATCAAAGAATGAATAATATCTTTCAAGCCAAGATAGATATTCATACAAAACCTATTCCATCTTAAATTAGACACACATGAGGGTTTTTTACATGCTTTTCACAAGCAGCAGAGTTATCTTTATTACTCAATCAATCATGAATTCTAGCACTACAGTTCTGAAACTGTAGGCTCATTCTTGCAATGGTTCTCTAATGGAGTAACAGTGGGCTCTAAGTGTTGGGCTCTAGAGAGAGAGAGAGAGAGTGAATGGCGTGTGTGGGGGAGAGAGACTTAAGAATCATGCTGGCTAGAGGTGGCAGCCCAAAGGTTGACAAGGGACAACCCCACACATGCAATAGGACAAGTGGTATGTGGTGGCAGCATGCATTTGGTAGATGGTAGTAAAGATCATGCATGGTGGTAGTCCAAATCTACTGCTTTGCACTGTCGTGCCCTTCCACCGCTACGTGCACTCACACTGCCGCATGCGCTCTCTCCTCTCCTCTCTCTTCACTGCCGCGCGAGCACTCACACTGTCGAGCGTGCACTCACACTGTCGCGCATGCTCTCTCCTCTCCTCTCTCTTCACTGCCGCGCGTGCACTCACATTGCCACGCGCACTCCCTCCTTTCCTCTCTCTTCACTGCTGCGCCTGCACTCACACTGTCTTGTGTATAGGTGATATATATGTGATATATTTATATATGAAGATACTACAAAACGCCTATAGGCGAAAATGAACAGTGATTTTTTCTAGCCTCATCACCATCCAAACTTCATCGCACAGTCACAGTTATTCGGTAGTGTTTCAATCTTTATTTTTTATTTACTAATCGGAATGATCTGAAATTTGGAACGTGTGTACATCTTAGTGAGACGTACCTAATAAAATATGAAAAAA